ATATATATAATTGATTAGTAGTATTTTTAAAAAAATAATTGACTACAAGGCTACAAAGGTTTATGATAATTAAGAAAATAGAATAAAAACTTATTAAATTAGATTCAAATGATGTGTTAATATAAACAATAATTCTTAAATCTTTCTCCAACCCTTAATATCTCATGGCTACGTGATTAGGGTTGTCAAAACAACTCTTTCTTCATGAACAGCTCGTGTTTGACTCGTTAAGCAAACAAGACAAACACGAACATATTTTTCAAACTCGAAATATAAACGAGCCGAACACGAGTGTAAGAAGAACATGGTCTAATGAAACTTTTGATAAGTAAATTGAATTACCTCCTTGAGTTCAGGCGATATGACAGCGAGTTCATATGCATGGGCGACTCTTGGGTTGATGTCGACTTCATCAATTCCAGTTCTTGGATTTCCAATTAAATACCCCTAAGATAAAATATTAACTAAAGGTCTTATATCAAATAAACAAAAGTGCAACCATTTATACTTATGGAGGCATGGTGTATCCCATGTGTTCATCATGATGATGTAACATGACCATGTGAATGATATTTACATTTTGCAAGAAGTAAGTGTTTAGGAGGCATGGCGTATCCCATATATGACATGTCAACATACATGTATTCATTTCATTATGGAGTGAGATCATAAACAATGGACTTCTAGATTAATTTGTCATTTTATAATATCAAATGTATGTTGTCAAATGTATATGAAATCAAACGAAATAATTGGGCGTATTGAAGCAAGAATTAATATCCAAGTCTCATATATAAAGGCATGGGATGCAATGAGAATGACAACTAAAGCAGTCTTTAGTATTTGGGAAGACTCATATAAAGTTTGTATCATTTTATGGAAGCTATAAAAGTGTAATGACCAACAATGTTTATAGTATTAATTTTACACAAAAATGTCATTTTTAAAGTTTTTTTTTTTTATTTATAGACCATCACTATCAGGTTGGTCTCAAAGTCATCCAATATTAAGTCTCGATGATATATTTTTATTAAAAAAAGTTTAGAGTAACTCTCTTAACTACAATTGGTGTCAATGCTAACAATGGTCAGTTCTCACTTGCATTTGTCATTGTTGAGTCTGAAAAAACTGATTTGTAGATGTTGTTTTCATGCAATATATATGACTGCAAAGAAAGTATTAAATGTCAACAAGATCTTTATATAGTGTCTGATAAGCATTCCCATTTTGTTCATGGTTGCAAGGAAATATTTCTTTGTATTACACATCATAATTGTTTGCATCATTTAAGAGAGAGTTTTAACAAAGTTGTGCGCTAGATAAAATTAAAATACATATATAAACATTATGAGAGAAATTAAATTTTGTTGGAAATATTTATGACCCATATATTTTTAAAATGTAAATGCTTGATCTTTTCAATGTAAAAACAGAAGTGTATGATGGGTTAGTTGAACGAGATGTGACAAGGTGAAGCTTGTATTGTGATGATGGTTTTTGTTAGAGAATAATGACTACTAATGCATCTAAATCCTTAAATGGTATTTTTCAACTGACACTTGCATTGCTTATACAAGTATGAGTTTGTGTTATTTATTGTAAAATGATTGCTATTTTTTAAAAGGCAAAGAAAATGAAAAACATTTATTATTAGTCAATGAATGTGAATTTGTTCATATAGCAATAATTATGCTTCAGAGATATGAAAGATAAGCATTCCGATTACTCGAACAAAAATGTGTATATTTTTATGAGTATAAAGTTTTTGATAGCTCATGCAGAAAGTTTTGAGTCTTTTTTTAGGAAAGTAGATATTGTAAATGTGATTGTAACTATCCCTAATTATAACTTATGGCCAAAATTCAGTCTAGAAAATGGAATCATAGAGTTGTGTCCACCACCAATTACAGGACTATCGGGTCGATCAAGGGTAATACACATTCGTAATACAATGTATGAAAATGTGTCCTATTTTTGGAAGACTATGCGGTTTTGTCATCAATCTGGCCTTAATAGATCTACTTGCTCACAAAATCTAGAAAGTATATGGTATGAATTATTTTTTTCTTTTCTTTTATTTTCTTCTACATCTTCTAATTCTTATTTTGTAGAAGAGAAGCCGGACCACGAAGACATAATTAGAAAACCTAGAAGAAGAAAGAGAGCAGATGCATAACTACAATGCCGACAAGAAGTCAAACTATATAGAAATAACTCCATGATCAACCAAGAATGGGGAAGAATCGATACGCCCCAGAATCACACCATTCAGTAGTTGCTTAATACCATGTAATCAAGATATTGTGAGGTTTTGACTTTAATGTCATTATTGAGTTTTTTTAATGGTGAGCATTTTCTTATATGTTTCTTCTCTAGGAATTAGTTATTAAAATTTAAATATATATTAACATAGTTTTTGTAAATATGCTTTTTAACTTCAATATCTATTTTGTATCAACTAACAAAAGAAAAAATTTACCTCAAAAAATTATACATAAAATTATTATTGAAATATTTTTAATTTATTAGATAAATATTTTAGGAATTTAAAATTCCTAAAAAGACTTAAACTCATACTTAATTAAAAGAATTATGATAAAAAAAATTAAATATTTTCATGAATTTAAATACACACACACACACACATATGTTTTGGCTCACTTTATATTATTTTCTTAAAAAAATATCATATATTGAATATAACTTATAAAGGTGCTCATTCTAAAAATTTATGTAAAGTAAATTACAAAGTTAAATACATGCTATATAAAATTAAATTGTTTGGCAGTCTAAGTCTTTATTTTATATTTGAAATTTTGATGTAACACATAAACTTATTTTCGTAGGAAGACCTCTAAACGTACCACTTCATTCTTATATATTTATATATCTTTAATGACAGACTTAACTGGGCAGTTGAGATCAGAATCTGACATTGCTGACTCCACAATATGGTCATCGCATTTCCGACTAAGTACATTATCAATCAGAATTTCATCAAGAAACTGCAAGTGCAATATAAAATTTCATTAAGAAAGTACACAATCTTCAACAAATTACATCCTTCTTTTTCATATTATATGCAGGGTGATATGATAATACTTAGGGTCCGTTTGGGGCAGCTTATAAGTGCGGGCGGCATTTTCGAAACGCCGTCATATTGTTTGGTTCGCGCTTTTCGACAGCTTATGCAAAACTGCGTTTGGGTTTTTATAGTAAATGCAGGTCGCGGGTCACTTTTCAGGATAAGCAACTTATCCTGAAATGCACAAGCTGCCTCAAACGGAGCCTTAATATGACCATGATCAGTGTGCTAAGTTTATAAATGATATATTTCGAGTGCTATGCATGTAATTATTTTTTTTCTTAAATTTAAATTTATTAGTGCAGAAATAAATGATTTATACCTTTTGAAGGACTTGGAGTTTTGCAGTGCAACCAGCAGTCCTTGGAAACCTATAATTTTCCCCAACGCAGTTGGTCTCTATCATCTATGGCACATAATACAAATAATTAATATAGACTATCTGTTGTTCTACGTAAAATGGCTCGTTGTTCGTGAACAGCTCGTGTTCGTGGTCGGCCCGTTCGTTAAGTTAACGCGCCGAACACGAACATAAATTGGTTCGTTAGTGTTCGGCTTGTTTTGGCTCGAAATACTACTCATCAATTTTATATATATAATTGATTAGTAGTATTTTTAAAAAAATAATTGACTACAAGGCTACAAAGGTTTATGATAATTAAGAAAATAGAATAAAAACTTATTAAATTAGATTCAAATGATGTGTTAATATAAACAATAATTCTTAAATCTTTCTCCAACCCTTAATATCTCATGGCTACGTGATTAGGGTTGTCAAAACAACTCTTTCTTCATGAACAGCTCGTGTTTGACTCGTTAAGCAAACAAGCCAAACACGAACATATTTTTCAAACTCGAAATATAAACGAGCCGAACACGAGTGTAAGAAGAACATGGTCTAATGAAACTTTTGATAAGTAAATTGAATTACCTCCTTGAGTTCAGGCGATATGACAGCGAGTTCATATGCATGGGCGACTCTTGGGTTGATGTCGACTTCATCAATTCCAGTTCTTGGATTTCCAATTAAATACCCCTAAGATAAAATATTAACTAAAGGTCTTATATCAAATAAACAAAAGTGCAACCATTTATACTTATGGAGGCATGGTGTATCCCATGTGTTCATCATGATGATGTAACATGACCATGTGAATGATATTTACATTTTGCAAGAAGTAAGTGTTTAGGAGGCATGGCGTATCCCATATATGACATGTCAACATACATGTATTCATTTCATTATGGAGTGAGATCATAAACAATGGACTTCTAGATTAATTTGTCATTTTATAATATCAAATGTATGTTGTCAAATGTATATGAAATCAAACGAAATAATTGGGCGTATTGAAGCAAGAATTAATATCCAAGTCTCATATATAAAGGCATGGGATGCAATGAGAATGACAACTAAAGCAGTCTTTAGTATTTGGGAAGACTCATATAAAGTTTGTATCATTTTATGGAAGCTATAAAAGTGTAATGACCAACAATGTTTATAGTATTAATTTTACACAAAAATGTCATTTTTAAAGTTTTTTTTTTTTATTTATAGACCATCACTATCAGGTTGGTCTCAAAGTCATCCAATATTAAGTCTCGATGATATATTTTTATTAAAAAAAGTTTAGAGTAACTCTCTTAACTACAATTGGTGTCAATGCTAACAATGGTCAGTTCTCACTTGCATTTGTCATTGTTGAGTCTGAAAAAACTGATTTGTAGATGTTGTTTTCATGCAATATATATGACTGCAAAGAAAGTATTAAATGTCAACAAGATCTTTATATAGTGTCTGATAAGCATTCCCATTTTGTTCATGGTTGCAAGGAAATATTTCTTTGTATTACACATCATAATTGTTTGCATCATTTAAGAGAGAGTTTTAACAAAGTTGTGCGCTAGATAAAATTAAAATACATATATAAACATTATGAGAGAAATTAAATTTTGTTGGAAATATTTATGACCCATATATTTTTAAAATGTAAATGCTTGATCTTTTCAATGTAAAAACAGAAGTGTATGATGGGTTAGTTGAACGAGATGTGACAAGGTGAAGCTTGTATTGTGATGATGGTTTTTGTTAGAGAATAATGACTACTAATGCATCTAAATCCTTAAATGGTATTTTTCAACTGACACTTGCATTGCTTATACAAGTATGAGTTTGTGTTATTTATTGTAAAATGATTGCTATTTTTTAAAAGGCAAAGAAAATGAAAAACATTTATTATTAGTCAATGAATGTGAATTTGTTCATATAGCAATAATTATGCTTCAGAGATATGAAAGATAAGCATTCCGATTACTCGAACAAAAATGTGTATATTTTTATGAGTATAAAGTTTTTGATAGCTCATGCAGAAAGTTTTGAGTCTTTTTTTAGGAAAGTAGATATTGTAAATGTGATTGTAACTATCCCTAATTATAACTTATGGCCAAAATTCAGTCTAGAAAATGGAATCATAGAGTTGTGTCCACCACCAATTACAGGACTATCGGGTCGATCAAGGGTAATACACATTCGTAATACAATGTATGAAAATGTGTCCTATTTTTGGAAGACTATGCGGTTTTGTCATCAATCTGGCCTTAATAGATCTACTTGCTCACAAAATCTAGAAAGTATATGGTATGAATTATTTTTTTCTTTTCTTTTATTTTCTTCTACATCTTCTAATTCTTATTTTGTAGAAGAGAAGCCGGACCACGAAGACATAATTAGAAAACCTAGAAGAAGAAAGAGAGCAGATGCATAACTACAATGCCGACAAGAAGTCAAACTATATAGAAATAACTCCATGATCAACCAAGAATGGGGAAGAATCGATACGCCCCAGAATCACACCATTCAGTAGTTGCTTAATACCATGTAATCAAGATATTGTGAGGTTTTGACTTTAATGTCATTATTGAGTTTTTTTAATGGTGAGCATTTTCTTATATGTTTCTTCTCTAGGAATTAGTTATTAAAATTTAAATATATATTAACATAGTTTTTGTAAATATGCTTTTTAACTTCAATATCTATTTTGTATCAACTAACAAAAGAAAAAATTTACCTCAAAAAATTATACATAAAATTATTATTGAAATATTTTTAATTTATTAGATAAATATTTTAGGAATTTAAAATTCCTAAAAAGACTTAAACTCATACTTAATTAAAAGAATTATGATAAAAAAAATTAAATATTTTCATGAATTTAAATACACACACACACACACATATGTTTTGGCTCACTTTATATTATTTTCTTAAAAAAATATCATATATTGAATATAACTTATAAAGGTGCTCATTCTAAAAATTTATGTAAAGTAAATTACAAAGTTAAATACATGCTATATAAAATTAAATTGTTTGGCAGTCTAAGTCTTTATTTTATATTTGAAATTTTGATGTAACACATAAACTTATTTTCGTAGGAAGACCTCTAAACGTACCACTTCATTCTTATATATTTATATATCTAACACGAACTTCAATTTTTTACGTATACGTAACCTTATGCACGAAAAAATGCATTTCACTTTTTATAAGTTAAAAGTACTCTCTCACTTACCCTCAAATTCTAAACATCATAAAAAATATCTCCATCATGGACTATTTAATGCTTTGGCTCATAAAACCAAATTGTCATGTTTGTTAGAGATGTAAATACATAAGAATTGTATTGTATCTATGACAATTTTTTATAAAATGACTAAAGAATGCTTAAATGTTACATCTTTAAATACATTGGAATTGGAATTGGAATTGCAATTTGATAGAGAATTTACCTTGAAATTGAGTAATGGCTGGTCAGAAGCTTCAATTCCTGGCATTCAGAAAGGCTGACAATCCTTCAACATGACAAACACTCAGAAAGTTCAAATTAATACATACCTTGAGCGATCCTATAAGAGACAAGTGCGGCCATCTTGCCACCATATGAATCTCCTCCAATATACATTGGATTCAAGACGAAATTTGAATGATCAACAAACCACTGAAACATAAACATTTTTTTTATTATTTCATGACATATTAAATATTAACTATGAAATTTTTTTTTTGAATATGATAACCTTTTTAAGGAAAGTGTATATGTGTTCTACAGATTGGTAATCGTTTAACATTTGGTTGTCATGGCGTTCTGAGAATGAAAAGCCAGTACCAGTTGGCCAGTCCAAGAAGATTATGCTGAACATCTGTAACAAAGAAATCAAACTTGTCAAACCATGTTTTTATTGTCATGCTGCCTTTTTTTGCTACTAAAGAAATATTAAATTTATTGGATTATGTTGTTTGGTTTGATGTGACAGAAGTGTGACTTTGGGTGATCAAATTATTAAAAGGTGTGAACGATTTATATATCTTGGTTATGTTGTTCAAAGTGATGGTGATATAGATGGGGATGTTAATATTAGAATTCAAATTGGTTGGTTGAAGCGGGCCTTTTATGTGATAGAAAAGTATCGCTTAGACTGAAAGGAAAATTTTATAAGACCGTGGTGAGACCTGCAATGCTTTATGGCGCTGAATGTTGGTCTTTAAAAGAGAAGCATAATAATAAGTTAAGTGTTGCTGAGATGAGAATGATTAGGTGGATGAGTGGCTTTACACTTAGAGACAAAATGTGAAATGAATATATCCGTGATAGGGTTGGTGTAGCTTCTGTGACGGACAAAATTAGAGAAAATCGTCTTAGATGATTTGGTCACATTAAACGTCGATCATCTGATGATCCGATTAGGAGAGTAGATGCTTTAGATTCGGCTTGTGTTAAGAAATACAGAAGTAGACCTAAAAAGACTTGGGCTTATTGTATAAAAAGTGATCTTAATTTACTAGAACTAAATGAAAATATGACACTAAATAGGACGTAATTGAGAAAAAAGATTCATGTAGCTGACCCCACGTAGTGGGATTAAGGCTTTGTTGTTGTTGATGTTGTTTGGTTTGATGTGATTAGAAATAAGAGAAAGAAAATTTACATACATATCACAAAAATACTATGCATTTACATATCTAGCAGTTAAAATTTGATATTTACATTTATATTTACACTTGTGTTTAAGAAGGTGTATTTTACTTATAAGAAGTTAGTAATGGTGGTATCTATGCAAATGCCCCAAATGAGCCCTACTGGTTAGTTGTATATAATTAAATGCTGATCACCTTTGTCCAAGTGTAAGGATGGTAAATTAAATTTGGCAAAGTACCATTATAACGTATGCGGTTGAATTTCATGGGACCTGCAAGGAAAAATGTAAATTAAATAAATCATAACACAAAGAAAAAAAAAATTAAAATTTAAAGGTTTTAATTTATTGTTTTTTTTTTTACTAAAATTATGAAATTACCTATCAATAAACATATTACATTAAACCTATGAAAATAATATTACTTTTCATGAAACTTTAACATTGGGAATGCGTCAATAACGTTCTTCTCAAAGAAAACAAAATCTTTTTAGAATGCTTACGGTGCATTTGGGGCAACTTGTGCTTATCCAGATAAGCTACTTATCTGGAAACGCGGACCGCGGGATTTGACTCATGTTGTGCATTTAGCATAAAAAACTAACTACATTTTTGAATAAGTTGCATCATAAACACTATTTCCAAATGGTGAGAACGATAAGCTGCCACCGCAGCGGATAAGCTGCCAATTGCTTTGCAAGCTATTGCCGCATCACCCAATATTCATGTATTTGCATGTATATCTAAACGCCCAAACAAACTTTTTCATATCACATTAGTGGCAAATGAGAAAATCTGACTATCATGTGCACTCCCTTCCCAACCCGCCACTACAAAAGTAAAGCACATGTTGAAGTCGCAAAAGTGTGGATTTTCGGGATCGACATTAGAAACACCATGTATCTGTGATGTGCACTCCCTATCGTAGAAATACCATATATCTCTTTTCAGATAAAAGCAAAAAATGTACAAGATACCTCGTTTGAGGCGAGGAGCAGATGGAAGATCAGGGAGGCCCTAGAGCGAGGATTTTCGTTACCTCGATGTCGATCTCCGCGAGAGAAGTTGCAGAAGGAGGAAGGAGGAAGGAAGAAGGAAGGAAGAACGGGAGGGCGAGAGTAGAAGGGGAGAGCGAGTGAGGGGCACAGGAGGAAAATATTACCCTAATGCGACACTCATACGCGGGACGCAGGACCCCTCAACGCTTCGCTCGCCCTTAAGGAATTTGGGATCGGCATTAGAGTGTGGCAGAGAAACGCTCGCTCAACGCAATATTTAAACACTGTGGCGGCGTTTTCGCCGACGCACGTGAATAAGCTGCCCCAAACGGGCCCTAAAACTACATCATTTAAACTCTTAAACAGCGAAATACAACTTTCCATATATAGTTAAGATTACATGCATGCAAAATGCGAAAATACATAAAAAGATGGCGGAAGCTCACCAATCTCTTGGTACAACCCGAAGAAAGAAGTACAGCCAGGGCCGCCGGTGAGCCAAAGGAGGACAGGGTCTTTGCCAGCCTCACTCTCCGACTCTATGAAATAGTAGAACAGCTCCACGCCCATCCTTCCATCCACACTAACATACCTTCAAATAATACATATACTTTTATGAAACCATAAATATTTAAATAGTTAACAATGGCACTTGAGGATTTACCCAGTCTCCAAACGGAAGGGAAGGGGGCCATGGAAGCCGGGGAGCTGCGTGACAGTCGTGGCATGCGTTGTCTGAAGGCAGAGCAAGGTGGCGGCGGAGAAGAAAAGGAAGAGAAATGGCTTAAAGTTGGGAGGAAGAGACATTGCTGCGGGCGGAGATTACGAGAAGTGCGATTTTCTATTTTTTATAAAAGATAGATAGAAAAATAAGGGCACGTGAGAAACGTGCGGGCATGTGGAAAACTACCCTACCTACTTTTGCGCGTCCGTACCAACTTCTAACGCTCCTTTTGTACATTAGTTGCACTTAATTTTTATCTTTTAATATATATAACTATATCTAAACTTCATTCTTTACCTTATTTATGTATGTTTTTTATATGGGCATGCAATTATGTGGATGACACTCAAAACATTGTTATTTTAAAAATGTAGTACACACTTTCATCCAATCAACTTGCCATTCTAGCGGTACACGCACGAGCTCACACAATCACAGATATGTATATACATCAAAATTCAATTACAAAATTCTAGTCCAACTTATTCACTTTTATCAGATTTTTGTTCGAATTCGTTTAGTTGTTTTGCATTTTTCTTTATTTTGGTGCATTTTTTGTATTGAATATAAAATGGGGGCATAATCTCCATTCTTCTATTATAACCTTTAACATTTTATTGTTGTTGAGAGATGAAACTTGTTTATGATGACTTTTTCTGAGGTGTGTGATATTTGGAGTCGATTTTGTGAAGTTTTTTATTTTAAATTTAATTGTATTTTTTATGATTGTTAAGTATGTTTTGTTCGACTTTTTCTGAGGTGTGCGATATTTGAAGTCGATTTTGTGAAGTTTTTTTTTATTTTAAATTGAATTGTATTTTTTATGATTGTTAAGTATGTTTTGTTTCAATACATTTTAACAGTTTATCACTTGTTTTGACAAGTGCATGGCCTACTAAGGTAAAGCAGGTTAACATCATCAACCCTAACAATGAAGTTTTTTGGCACAAATATTCATGTTGAACTTCCCTTTGAATTTCGATGTACATTATTATTGTCGGATTTTACATCGGCATATTCTGATGCAAAGCAACAAAACGTTTAATGTGACAATCCTCACTTAATGGCGGTAGTGTTCCGCTAGTTAAATCCAACACAAAATTCTTACGTCAGACGTTTCCAAAGCTAAGTCATCACAGAGCCTTTGAAATCTAAACCCATGTGTGCCAACACTATTTACACTTACCTAGTAAACTTTCCACCAAGATTCTCCTGTGACCATTTTTATCGACGACCCTGTGGAGTTTTTTCAGCACTGGCAACCTCACAACTCTGGCAACTTCTTATCTCCATGTGTATCTCCTAGGTAACAAACTTTTCACCCTTTCCCTACACAATTTCTTGAATAATTTCTTTGTTTTTTCCAATTTTTGTCATTCAGATTTAGGTTTCCAATTTTTGTTATTTAGGTTCAAGTTTATGTATTAGGATTTAAGAATGTTTTAGGATAGCATTTAGGTTTAAATTAGGTAGTTTTTGGCTACATGTAGGACATAGGTTTAGGAGGATTATGTAAATCCAAAACTCATAAATTCATTTAATTCATATTCCCACTGGATTCGATAAATTTGAAATTAAACTTAAATGAGTTTAGGGCATGTTTGGTCGTAGGTAGAGTTTAGCCGTAATAGGAGTTTGTAAATCTAAAAATTTCAAATCCAAATAATCCACCTTCTAGTTGGGTTTAATAAATATGTTTATTTGAGTGTTTGTGTATCTATATTTAAGTGTGTGTTTTTGTGTGTGTGTGTGTGTGTGTGTGTGTGTGTGTGTATTTATGTGTGTCTTTGTGTGTATTTTGTGTATGCTTTTATATTTATAAAAGTGTTTGGTGTCTTTATTTATGTGTGTGTGTCTGTGTGTGTGTGTGTGTGTGTGTGTGTGTGTGTGTGTTTATATATAGGTGTGTGTTTGTGTATCTATATACATGCCATTTTGAATTGTTTAAATATATAATTATGCATGAAATTGTCTATCTATAACCGATAATTTAAATGTCTTAACATTTAAATCTATATATAGGCCACTTATGGATATCTGAGATTTAAGAACATGGATATACAATAGATTGTATCCAGGTTGAAAAAGACTCTCTAATGAATTCTTTAAAGGCGTAAAAAAAATTATACAAATAGCATCACAACTTCCAATTTTATCTTTTAGAAGGTAAGTATCGATGCTCATATACGAAGCACAAAACTCAAGCATACCTAACACTAGATAAAGTCATATAAGATTTGTACTGTGAGAGCTTTCAACCTAATTATTGGTACTAGATTGCATATAGGAAGTATGAACCAAATTTTCAGTACGATCATATTTGTGCTTCATCAAGTTCTGCTCCTCCAACTCAATGTGATCCTAGAATATTTGAGAAAATGATTTTAGATGCAAGCAAAGCTCATGTTTTTGAAAGTGTTTCAGAGGATGATCAACTACCAAATAGTGAAGCACAAAAATTCTATGATCTATTGAACGCTGCACAACAGTCTTTGTGTGAATGTTGCACCACACATTCAAAGTTATCAATAGAACTGAGAATATTGAGCATTAAATCATAGTACAATATATAGAGAGAATGCAAGTTCTAAAGCAGTTCGTGGATTTTGATCCGAGGGCAGATTTCCTATTATTCCGGTATGGATGTGATTACTGGGATTGAAAGTCCATCTTTTTAACCACAAAATTTTATTTTCAATTACTGCTATGTTTGGAAAACCTCTCAAGTTAGATGCTCCTACTTTTTATCTAACTAGGCCTTCAATGGCTAGAATTCTTATTGAACGTGATGTGACATTGCCCCCACCTGATGAAATCTGGATTGGATCTGCCCATAACAGGTATTGGCAAAAGGTTCAATTGAAACAACATCCTTATTATTGCGGGCATTGTAGAATTTTTTGGCATGATTCGTCCCATTGCTATCATCTTCATCCGGAACTTTGGAAGAGGAGCGGAGGGCAAACTCAACAGCTCTTGATTGTTGAAAAGGCTCCACCTGCTCCGTCTTCGGTTGTGCCTGAGGAAGACACGACTTTATTAAACTATGTGGAAGAGAATGGTGGATGTGGGGATATTGTTATGAATGCCAATCATATTAGTTTAAATGAGAAAGATGATTGTGCCCTTCCTTCTTCCCTTGTTTCAATGGGGAATGATGGTCAGGGGTGTCACGATAATACTGGTCCTGTGGGTGTTAATGAGAGGACTAGTGGAAATCAGGATGATCCTTTACCTTCTCTTCCCAATATTTTTGTCTCTTTGGAAAATGATTCCTCTTCACAGAGGAGCAAGGGGGATGTTGTATCAAGTGATGGTGTGAATGTAGATGATGTTTCTAATCTTCTTAGAGAGGAATGTCAAATTCAAAAATTATGTTGGTGAAGGAAAAAAAGGGAGTTATGAATTGGCCAATTTAAGGCTTGGAAGTAATCGTGAGACCGTTGATCATTCGCATTTTGATAGTGAAATTAGACAAGCCCGGACTAGATCTTCTAGGAAGAGATCCGTGCCTATCCATGTTTAACATTATTATTTGGAATATCAGGGGAGTTCGGATCCTAGCTCTCTTGGTAGATTGAAATCATTAACTAGGATCCATAAAATTGGATTTTTTTCTATTTTGGAGTCGTTGGTTTCTTCTTCTCATGATCGTATTTTGGCTAAATTTAAACACTTTTCTTATTTTCATAATTTCTCTAATAAGATTTGGGTTTTCTGGAGGAAGCATGTCACTCTAGACATCATTACTGATGATGGTCAGTTCGTTCACACTTATTTCACGTTAGATGATTACTCAGGTTGGTTTACGTTTGTTTATGCTAACACTTTAACTTCAGCTTGTTATGATTTATGGAACAAAATTTCTAGCATGGGCAATATTCTTTCTGATAAATGGATGGTGGGAGGTGACTTTAATATGATTTTGCATAATGATGAGAAATCGGGTGGTCGAAGGGTTGTTTCTTCTTTGATTAATAATTTTGGCAAAGCTATGGTGGATGCTGGCTTATCTGATTTGGGTTTTGTTGGTTCCAAGTACACTTGGAAACGTGGTAAAGTTTTTGAATGCATTGATAGGTGCTTTGCTAATCAAGCTTGATTTTCTTCTTTTGGCTTTTCTCAGGTTCAACATCTTTGCAGTTCGGGTTCAGATCATAAACTCCTACTATTCTCTTTTGATTTTTTTTAAAAAGTCTCTAATTACCACTTTCATATTTAAATGTTTGTTCTATACATGATGATTTTTTGAGACTTGTTGCTGATAATTGGAAGTTTCCTGAAGTTGGGAATGCTTGGTACATGCTTTGGAAACTCCATAAAAGGGTTGCCACTGCTTTAAGAAATTGGAATTGGGAGGTGTTTGGAGATATTCATGCCAGGGTTATTAAGGTTGAACATATTATTAAGCATCTACAGACTCTGGATGAATCTTCTAATGATATTGTCTCTGAGTTACAGGATGCTCATAATGAACTTCTTGTCTCCTCGCTTCAGGAGGAGGAATTTTTGCAACAAAAGGCGGGTGGCATTCAGTTTCTATAAGGTGATAGGAATACAAAATATTTTCATGCTTGCATTAAACAACGTCGGGCCAATAATTTCATTATTCGCATAAAAGATGATTGTGAGAATTGGCTTACGGGTACTCGGGAAGTGGGGGACAGTGTCGTTCAGTACTTCCAAATTTTTTTCCTTTCTAGTTAGAATATAAGCAACATTGATAATGATTTGTTTAATGATGTTCAGGACTATATTGAAGGTTTAGATCTTTATAGTATTCCGACTGCTAAGGATATTTTCATGATTTTTCTGAGATTAATTGTAATAGAGCTCTGGGTCCTGACGGTTTTACCTCTGATTTCTATATTAAGTGTTGAAAAATTGCCCGGACTGATGTGGTTCAAGCCATCCAAAGTTTCTTTAAAGGCGAAACTCCGGGGAAATATTTATCCGCTGCCACTCTGGTTCTTATTCCTAAATCTACCCACAGAAGAAATTGGGAGCATTTCTTTCTGATTTCGCTTACGTCCGTTATTTCTAAGGTGATTAACAAAATTGTTGTTAAGCGCCTCTAACCCCA